TGACTAATAATTGGCGCTATAAACACATAAAGTGTTCTCTTATAGTGCGATTGCACGTAAACAAACAGAAAAAAAAATCGAATCCAGTCGGCCTTTGAGGAAGTAATACAAGTTTTGAGAATCTGCATCTATCCACCATATTATATTCAACTATATGATGAAACACCATCGGGTTTGAGTTCACCGCGATGTTAAAACACTCAGTGCCTTTGTGTTACACAAGGAAATAAGTACCGGGAATACCGGGTCTCTGTATAAGCATGACGACGAGTCATATGTGCAAGTATTTACTCAGATACATCAGACATCTTTCCTCCAAGATTCACATGTTGCATGTAATATATTTCCACAAATACAAGTTGAAGTAGTCTAAAGGAAAGGATACGAATTCTTGAAAACAGCACATCGTTCAGTACAACATATTATCATTCTACACTGTGCACAGACCACAACTGATTTGAATAGCATTTAGTAATAAATAATTTAAAAAAATTGTAGCCAAATGTTTTTTAGTGATAGGGATTCTGTTTAGGTCTCAAACAGACAACTCTGGTCAAATGCTATTCTTGCATGGTCAGTTAACGATTCGCTTCATTGAAGCTGCAATAAAACAAAGGAAAGAAGCGTGAACTTGCATGCAAAACCCTCAATTGTCCCCTTTTAAGTAAGAGGTGGATGGGGAACCTTACTGGACTCTGACAAAACGGCAAGAAAAGGAACACCAAGTAAATATCTTCAAAGAGGGGAGGGGGAGGGCATTTCAGACCAGAATATCACTGTGCACTTTTCATAGTTCTACCAAAACGTTTTGAAAAACCTGGTATGTACAATGCAATGAGCAGTTTTTAAACTCTTTGTGCTATATATTTTTATAGACACAGATAACATGAAAAAGCTCATCATTTTGCAACAGGGAAGTTGAATATCTTGTGCGGTCTTACGTCGATGATATTGCAAGCTGCAAAATGTATTTACTTACCCGATAATTGAACAAAAAAAATGAAATAATATTGTCTGCATATATTTAGAATCCTTTCATTCCCTTAAATGGAGTAATTGCACGTGCAATTAGAACCAAAAACAAAAAATAAGAAATGTGAGCCTTATTTACAGTTTTTCTCGATTGCTTAAACACAATTTTGACTGCTTTGTTTTGTTTTTCATTTCACTCACACAATTAGCGCAACCACACACCCAATGAGCAAAACACCTCAGATCCATTGCAAAATGAAACACTCTTGTAAAAACTATACACTAATTTAACAAAACCATCTTTTGTTACCATATGAAACACACACGTTGCATATGACGGAATTCTGTTTGTACCACTTACACACTGCTGTTATAAACCTAAAACACTTTTAGCAAATCTATTTCTCAGTGATTAGAGTAGTGTAAGTGAAGTACACAGAGAAAGTGCAAATATTCAATAAATTCGCCAAACACTACACAAGACCAATGCTGCAGACTGATGAAAATATTATTTAATTCTCTCCATATACACAAACCAGTCAAACATGGAGAATCACAACAAAAACAA